TGTATTATTCTTGTGATAAGTTGCTGTAATCTATTTGCTAGTATTTTGTTTAAAATTTTTGCATCTATATTCATTAGAGAAATTGGTCTATAATTTTCTTTCTCTATTTTGACTCTTCCTGGTTTAGGTATCAACACCATATTTGTATCATAAAAAGAATTTGGTAAGACTCCTTCTTCACCTATTTTCCCAAATAGTCTATATAGTATTGGAATTAATTGTTCTTTAAATGTTTGATAGAATTCGCATGTAAATCCATCTGGCCCTGGAGATTTTTTCCTAGGGAGTTCATCAATGGCTTGTTCAATTTCTTTTTCTGAGATGGGGTTATTTAAGTATTTTACTTCCTCTTCTGTTAATCTGGGCAATTTATATTTTTGTAAATATGTATCCATTTCACTAAGATTGTCAAATTTGTTGGCATATAGTTGGGCAAAATAATTCCTAATTATTGTTTTAATTTCCTCTTCCTTGGTGGTAGCTTCACCCTTTTCATTCTTGATACTAGTAATTTGGTTTTCTTCTTTCTTTTTTTAATTAAATTAACCAAAGGTTTATCTATTTTATTGGTTTTTTCATAAAACCAGCTCTTAGTTTTATTTATTAGTTCAATAGTTTTCTTAATTTCAATTTTATTAATTTTTCCTTTGGTTTTCAATATTTCTAATTTGGTGTTTAGTTGAGGATTTTTAATTTGTTCTTTTTCTAGTTTTTTTAGTTGTATGCCCAATTCATTAATCTCTCTTTTTCTATTTTATTTATGTAAGCATTTAGAGATATAAAACTTCCCCTAAGAATTGCTTTCCTGCATCCCATAAGTTTTGGTATGTTGTCTCATTATTGTCATTCTCTTGAATGAAATTATTGATTGTTTCTATGATTTGTTGTTTGACCCAATCATTTTTTAGGATTAGATTATTTAGTTTCCAATTATTTTTTAGTCTATCTTTCCATGGCCCTTTATTACATATAATTTTTATTGCATCATGATCTGAAAAGGATGCATTTAATATTTCTGCCTTTCTGCATTGGATTGTGAGGTTTTTATGCCCTAGTACATGGTCAATTTTTGTGTATGTGCCATGTACTGCTGAGAAAAAAGTATATTCCTTTCTATCCCCATTCAGTTTTCTCCAGAGGTCTATCATACCTAACTTTTCTAATGTTCTATTCACCTCCTTAACTTCTTTCTTGTTTATTTTGTGGTTAGATTTATCTAGTGCGAGAGGGGGAGGTTCAGGTCCCCACTAGTATAGTTTTGCTGTCTATTTCTTCCTGTAACTCCCTGAACTTCTCCTGTAAGAATTTGGATGCTATACCATTTGGTGCATATATGTTTAGTAATGATATTACTTCATTGTCTATGGTGCCTTTTAGCAGGATGTAGTTTCCTTCCTTATCTCTTTTGATTAGATCTATTTTTGCTTTTGCTTTGTCTGAGATCAGGATTGCTACATTCCTGCTTTTTTTACTTCAGCTGAAGCATAATATATTCTGCTCCAGCCTTTTACCTTTACCCTGTATGTGTCACTCTTTTTCAAATGTGTTTCCTGTAAACAACATATTGTAGGATTATGGTTTTTAATCCATTCTGCAATCCTTTCCGTTTTATGGGAGAGTTCATCCCATTCACATTCACAGTTATGATTACTATCTGTGTCTTTTTCTCCATCCTTTCCCCCTTTTATGCTTTTCTTTCTCCTTTTCCTTTCCCCCCACTAGTGTTTTGCTTTTGACCACTGCTCCTTCAGTCCCTCCTCCCTTTATTATCCCTTTCCCTTTTCTTCCCCTTTACCTTACTGCTTCTTCCCTCCCTTCTTCCCCCTCTCTTTCTTTCCCTCCTCTGCCTATAGGGCAAGTTAGATTTCTATACCTAACTGATTATGTTATTCCCTTCTTGAGCCAAATCTGATGAGAGTAAGGTTCAAACAATGCTCACCCCCCCTTCTTTCCCTCTGCTGTAATAGGATTTTGTGTCTTTTCCTGTAATGTAATTTACCCTTGTCTGCCTCCTCCTTTCTCAGTACATTTTCTAAGATCAGATTGCTCCACTTATTTGGATCCATTTAACCCACTTGATTAGATTTTTTTTTATCATTACATCAAAGTCAATTAATATCCACCCTCTTATGTATACTCCTTTAACATGGTGTAATAACAATACAGTTCTCAAGAGTTGCAAGTGTCATATTCCCTTGTAGGGGTAAACACACCCTTATTAACAACATATTGTATCTTTCTGTCCCATTTACCTTTTATTCTTCTTGAGTCTGTACTTGAAGATCAAATTTTTTGTTGAGCTTTGGTCTTTTTATCAGGAGAGTTTGGAAGTCTCCTATGTCATTGAATATCCACCTCCTCCCCTGAAAAATGATGCTCATGTTTGCTGGGTAATTGATCCTTGGCTGCATCCAAGCTCCTTTGCCTTATGGAATATCATGTTCCACACCCTGTGGTCTTTTAATGTAGAAGCTGCAAGGTCCTGTGTAATCCTGACTGTGGTTCCATGATATTTAAATTGTTTCTTTCTGGCTGCTTGCAGCACCTTCTCTTTCATCTGGTAATTTTGGAATTTTGCTATTATATTCCTTGGCATTTCAATTTGGGATCTCTTTCAGGTGGTGAGTGGATTCTTTCTATGGTTATTTTCCTTCTGGTTCTAGGACTTCAGGGCAGTTTTCCTTTATGATTTCCTGTCCAGGCTCTTTGTTTTCATCATGATTTTCAGGTAGTCCAATAATTTTAAAATTGTCTCTCCTGGATTGATTTTCCAGGTTGGTTGTTTTACTGATGAGGTATTTTACGTTTTCATCTATTTTTTTTCATTGTATTTGTTTCTGTTTGACTGATTCTTGCTCTCTCATAGAGACATTAGTTCCCATTTGTCCAATTCTAGTTTTTAATAGATTGTTTTCTTCTGTTAGTTTTTGTACTTCCTTCTTCAATTGGCCAATTGTGTTTTTTAGGGACTTGTTTTCTTCAGTGTATTTTTTTTCCAATTGGCCAATTGTATTTTTGAAGGACTCTTCTACCTCTCTCATTTGACTTAAAATCCTTCTTGAGCTCTTCTAAGAAGGCTTTTTGGGCTTCAGACCAGTTCATATTCCCTTTTGTGTTGCAGATGTGGGTTTGTTGACAATGTTGTCCTCTTCAGAATTTCTGTCTTGATCTTCACTCTTCTCAAAATATGAATCTATGATACGTTTCTTTTTACTCATGGTGTTTCTTTATTCCCTGGCCTTTAAAGAGATTGAGCTTTCCTGCTGGGGAACAGAGAGCACTGACCCAAGCTTCTTGTGTTGGGAGCCTAGCTCTTGGTCACTGGCTTTGTGTGCTGGGGCCTCTTATGTTGGCAATTGGAGGCTGTAGGTTCTGGCAGCTTACCTCGTGTTGGGCTGGAGTCAGCAAGGCTGTGGAACTTTCAGGCAATTCTAGGTTGCCTGCTTTTCCTTTCCTTTAGCTTTCTTCAGCTCCTTTTAGATGGGTGGTGCAGGGTATTTATCTGCCTGGGGCCCCTTGCAGTGCTGCCTCCCTCGTTTCTGCTAATGCACTGGGAGATTCCTTTGTGGTAGAGTGTGGAGGCACCTGGTAGTTTTCTGAGCTGGCCTCCACTTTGAACTAATAGGAATGCAAAGCAAAGCCTCATGTTAATTTTCCAGTTAGTCAATAAATATTTATTAGCACCTACTATATATGAGACACTATGCTAAGTAATGGGGATACAAAAAGGCTTTAGTCCTCAAGGAGCTCACAATTTAATGGGGGAGACAATAAGCACAAAATATATGCACAGACAAGCTGTATACCAGAAAAATGGGAATTAATTAACAGAGGGAAAGCACTAGAACTAAGACAGGTAGATAAAGGATTCCTGTAGAAGATGGAGTTTCAGTTGGGGCTTGAAGGAAGCCAGGAGTTGGAAGTGAAGATGGTGACCATTCCAAGCATGATAGAGAGCAAGACAAATATCTGGATGAGAATGGAGTATCTTGTTGGAGGAACAGCCAGGAGGCCAATGTCACTGGATTGGAGAGTTCATGGCAGGGAGTATAGTGTGAAAAGACTGGAAAGGTAGGAGGGGGTTAGGTTATTTGTTAGTTTGTTATACTAATTTTAAATGAACATTTCTTTGATCTGTGATCTCATCAAAGTGGGAATACCCATATGTATTTTTACCTTCGTCTACTCTGATTTCTACCAACTAATCACCCTTACTTCAGAAGTAGACTATAGACTAATGGATATTTTATATTTTTCTTTGTTTCAATTATTGCCATGGCCAAAGAATCCACCACCAAGTGACCAGCTGGTACTCAGAAAGATGCCATAACCTGTGATTGGGTCCATACTCAAAGCCTAATCAGCATGGTGTAGCTTGAGTTCCATTAGCATCATCCTTAAGAACCCAGTATCATATTCCTGCCATGGAGAGTCATCAGAGTAAGACTTTGTGGAGTAATGAATATTATTCTTCATAAATTAACCACAAAGTGTGAGCCAATCCATATTTTGGACACTACATCATTCCTATTCCTGCAAACTGTTCTTATAGTGACCAAGAAGAGAAAAAAGTGACAGTGCCCACTGAGACTAAGTAATAGTGTGGGTGTTGTTTCCATTTTTCCATATGTAACATTTTAAACCAGAATCCAAATGCCTCCTAAGAGAAAATACAACACAAATCTCAGTAATGATGCAGCAGCACTGTAAGACACAAAGACCACAATTGTCCGAAGAAGGTTTTAAAGTTTGCATAAGTTATTTGTATACTTAGAATCTAAATTTCAGAAGGATAATCATAGGTGCCTAATCATGTGACTTTAATGTGCAAATGAGAATGTTTGACTCATCCCTAGGTGTAGATACAAAACAGAAATACAAAGATAATAATAGTAGTAGTAGTAAAAAAATCATCTGAGTAATAACCACATATGATATTTCCCCCAAAGATTCATGATCTTATTTAATTTGCATCATGATTCTTTTTTTCATTTCCTCAGTGCTCTTCTCAGCAGAACAGAAACAATGTTCCCAGGGAGAACTCCTACCATACTATAAAGAGTAAATTAGGTGGGTGAGATGACAAACTCTTTTCTCTTATTCATCATCTATTTTCATAACGTTTTGAAGGACACCTGCCTAAAAGGCTAAGTTTTCTTAGAATGGACTTTAGATGATAAATTATCAAAGAGCTGCATTTGATGTCTGTATGTCAAAAAAAGACCACTTTGGGGAGGAATCATATAGGTTCTCCTTAAGTCAGATGCACTGTTATATCTGCTTTTATTCCATCATTTGTACAAGCCTCCAGCCAAAACTTCAATCGTTCTGCAAAAAATTCCACCAGAAACAAAATGATGCCAGTGGAAATGCTGAGAGTCATGAAGAACATCATATCAGCAATCAGTACTATTGTAACATCAATATGTGCAGTCTTCTCTGAACCACAGTTCAGTTGACTTTTGTCTTATTTGTATCTCCTTTGTTTTCAGAAGTCACATGGCATAGTAACCCCTCCTCCCAGTTCTTCAGCCCCACAGCTCATCCTTCTGAAGATTCAGCTGTGGGAAAAGTCATTTATCTTCTGAGTTCTGGTGTGTTTCTTATTAGCTTGCTTTGAGCTCCTCAGAACTATACATGCTCACATCTATTTAGCTATTTGAGGTAGCAGTCTACCTCAAAGCATGACTTTTGCCATACTGGTCATTTAATTAGATCTGGATTACTGTACCCATTCCCACAGACACTCCAAAGCCAATCTTTGAGGTTTGTTATGCCACAGTGGTTGCATTTTTGTTAAACCACCCACACACCCAAACAAATGAATACATTTTTAGAATTAGTTTGCCTGCATTGTATTTGTAATGACTCTGACCCCTTTGGCAGAGAATCTCAAAACACCCTGCAGAAAGAAGTCTATGAATCTTAGAAACCACTTTGAAATCTGTAGGGGGTGAGTACTGCTATTCCCTTGGATGGAGAAACTGGGGCAGAAGGAGGTTATGTGACCGTAACGCTTAGTCATGTGGCAAGGAGGTGGCAGCTGTGATTGGAACTTTGACCGTTCCAAACTCACAATGCAGGTCTAACCACAGGACTCCATTTCTAAATTCAGCTGAAGAGAGCTCAGCTCTCAGTGTCTTCGGTTATCGTCTGAGTCATTTCTCCCTTTGAAGATGCTGGGCTTCATCTTGAACTCTAAGTTACCTCTGGAGAATCACACGGCACGTTAGAAAAATAGTGCAAATGGAGGAGATGACTTTATAAATGTCCTTATGTCTCCAGCCTACGTGGATGTGGTCTCTCAGCATGTAGGAACTTTGTTTGACACTTTATTAATTTGTACTCACTCATGTATGTTGTGTTGTAAATTCTCTTAATCATTTTCAAATGTACATAATGCTTGCATGTGAATGTGTTTACGAACTAAGATGGGGAGTCATTTAGAGTCAGCAATAAACAGTAACAGGCAGCCCTCTTCTCTAAGACCTTACCACTAACTGCTTTCCACCACCCCCCTACCCAGTGAACCTGGTCTCCAAGACACCTCTTCTTTCCCCATCTCTCTTCTCTTCTATATGAAAAGAAGGATTAGATGGATGCTTCCTGAGTATTTGCAGCCATGGACCCCCATATAGCTGGGGGGGGTGGTTATGCTCACTTTAATAAAACCTTAGAAAACTAGAGGTGGAATGGACGTCTGAAACCTCACCTGATCAATTCATGTCTGACTCCTCTCATTTTGCAGAAGAGGGAACTCAACTGAGTTTACACAAATGAGATCTGTAGAGGTTAAGTCACTTGTTCAACATCGTGGCCAGTTAGGATCTGATACAGGATTGACTGTAAGTCTTCTGATTCCCCACCCCAGTGCTCCTTTATTTGACTCATTAATGGCGATTCTTGGCAGTCTGGGCTCCTTCACTCACAGACAAATCTCTGCAGAGCTCCACTGTTAGTATTCTATCTGGGGCTAAGTTTTTCCACTGTTAACATTCTAAAATTTAAAGGAAACTCTCAGACTTACTGTTAAACTATACTCTGGTTATAACATTCTTTGTCTGATTCAGGGCCATCTTAAGAAACCCAAACCCAAACCTTCCATCTCAGTTCAGCCTTAATCTTACAGAAAGTAGAAAAATCTTTATTATTATTTTAGTGGAGACACTTCTGATGGTTTGGGCATCATGAATACTACAGAAATCTTCCTTCTAACATGGAATCCCAGCAATGAATCTATTAATTTATATGTCACAGCTCTTTTGGTATCTTGAATTCAAGGCTGAACCTTGAATCCTCATTGAGGATCACCTATTAAAATTTAAATCCTTATTGGTTAAGCTTTGGCTCTTCTCCCCTCTCCACCCCCTGAGGTTTGCAGGTGCTGAGTCACTGTTGGCACACAACAAATAATAATAATGATAATTAATGTTAAGTCAGAGATTCCTTTTTTTAAAAAAAAGAATCCCCTGAGTCCTTGCATGTAAGAAATCACAAATGTAATTGCTACAGCAAGCAGGCGGGGCAAGAGAAAAATTAAATAATGAGCCATTCATTTTATACTGTATATTCATATGACTAATATCCACATGGAATGCCACTTTCATCCCCCTATATAAAACTGTACAGATGTTCTCCATAGAAAACTGTATGAACAAACTTTAACCTCACGACTGCTATTATTTTGTAATAAAAGGCTTACAGCATAATGTGAGCTTTTTTTAGATTATAAGTTCCATGTGAGCAGTATGTTGTTAATTTAATATTAATGCAGTGCGCCAGCAGGAACTCAGCACAGAATCTAAGGAAAAGAATCCCTTTCCCGCAGCTGTTAGATCTGGTCGACCTAATTATTTTTGAACTACCTTTTAGCTAAAATGAACACCTTCTTCAGATAGAGGAGGCCAGAGTCTCACTAACCATTTTGAAACTGAAAAATGGATAATTCAAACCAAAACAGCCTGTCTGCTCTGCTGTGCTACAAGTTCTCAATAAATGTTTATTGAGGATGATGAATTACTTGATATTCTTTATCAGTGAGGTCTAGACATACAGCTGTCTTTTAAATGTTTTGTATATAACAGATACAGACATGTATCTTCCATTAATACATATTATTATGTAGAGGCAGGTAGGTGGCACAGTGGATAGAGCACTGGGCCTGGAGTTAGGAAGCCCTGAGTTCAAATTTGGTCTCAGACACTTAGTAGCTATATAACTGGACAAGTCACTTAACCTTGTTTGCCTCCGTTTCCTCAATTGTAAAAAGGGATGAAAATAATACCTTGAAGGATTGTTATAAGGATCAAATGATATAGTATTTGTAAAGAGCTTAGCATAGTATCTGGCATATAGTAGATACTATATAAATATTAATTCCCTTTCCCTTCTGTATTAGGGATCACAGTCTTTTGCATGATACCAAAAATTTGACTGTATCATATAGGCTGCTTATTAATGAATTTCCTTTTATAGAATAACCTCTAAAATAAAATCTAATCAACTCATTTTTCCTGAAAATCATTAAGGATTTAAAAAATCTTTGGAAAATCTTCATTAAGCTTCTTTATACTGGAGTATAAACACTGCTTCCCTAGATACCTATGAATAAAGCCCCAATACTTTATCAGAGTTCAAGTTTTCTCCACACTCACTCCCCATCTAGTCAATGTAAGGTTCTTCTCCCTAGTTGTCCCTGCCTTCCTGCTTTGTCACTTCACAAAATCACATCGGGTCTCTGCTGACAGTTTATCTTTCCTCTCTTGCCTGTGTCTCTTGGTATTTCCTCTGCTCCCATTTAATTAGATGCAGAGCTTCAGACTCTAAAGTCATGGGGGCACGGAGAAACAGAACACCAGGAAGGACAGCAGGACGTCTCCCTTGAGATTAACAGGGCCTTTCCACCTCCTTGAGCTTCTCCTTCTTCTCCTTCCTCAAAGATTTTAATGGGTAGAGAGGGAAAAATGGAACTTGAAATTTCCAAATAGCTCTTGAGATGGGTGGCACCCATTAATGAGTGGTGGTAGAGGTAAAGGGGAAGGGAATAAGCATTTATGTAGTACCTACTAGATGCCAGGCACTGAGTTAAGAGCTTTTTCCCCACCAAATATTCTCTCATTTGTTCAAATGCACTTATACTCAATGCAAACTTCAGAAAGCTGATAGGCCAATAGAAACATCAGCACTCAGTGGAACGTTCAGTAAAAGGGCAGTCACTTCTGATGAAATGGCCCATTTCCTTTCTTCTTAGCCCAACTTCACCTAGCTGGTTCTCCCTTACCCCCAGCCCCAAAGTTTCTATTGACCTTCACCTTCATTCTCTCTTTTATTATTTTATTGAGTTGCTTTTTTTTCAATCCCCTACCTCTAATCTAATGAATAATAAAAGCTGTAGATCTTTCTTCAAAGGGTTATTGCCAGGAACAAATAAGGTAATGTTTGCACCTTGATGCTGTATAGAAATGTCAGTTATTATCATTACTCATATCATTATTATTATTGAATTAATCTAGATGGAAATTTTTTTTATTTTTTTATTTTTGTTTTAGGCAATCGGGGTTAAGTGACTTGCCCAGGGTCACATAGCTAGTAAGTGTCAAGTGTTGGGTCTGAGGCTGGCTTTGAACTCAAGTCCTCCTGACTTCAGGGCCGGTGCTCTATCCACTGTGCCACCTAGCTGCCCCTAGATGGAAAAATTTTTTGAGGAGAGGATGAAATGGGAAATAGTCAGTTGTGTTTCTTTGTTAAGTTTTAGTCATTGGTAAATGACTAAATGTAATCAAAGCAACGTTTTCTAACTTTGTCTAGACTGTATAAGATCTTTTGAGAACGTTTCAAGTAACCATTGAAGTGGTTGCCCAAGTGTAATCCCCAGACCAGATGGTGTCTCTAAGGACCCTTTCAGGGGATCCATAAGGTCAAAACTATTTTCGTCATAATGATATGACATTATTTGCTTATTAAAATGCTACTTCTTTTTCCAACTACATATCTAAATGAGACCAGATTTTCTTCATATACTTCAACTGAAACATTTCACAACAGATTGAATGTAGAAATGTATTCTGTTA